AGTCTTTATTAGATCCGGACGCTCAAATCAGCATCTTAACACACCCAGAATTTCCAGCTACTAGAAACATCTTTCCAGGCTCTCTCTAGCTTTGGGCCTGCAGGTCACATGTCTCCTCTGCCTCTCGCTGTCATTCAGGACCCGCCTGTGACATCACACATGAGCTTCACTGCATGTCCACCAGCATTCCCATAACCCCCTCTGCTCCCCAATCACAGTCAGGAACTCCTATTTCCTGTGTTCCCACGTCAACGATCCCCTCCAGTAAACTGTGTCCAGAGCTTTACTGGAGCACTGGCTGTCCCAGGATCTGGGCCTGGGGACAGGCTTTGGTTCAGGTAGATACCAGAGGGGGCACCCCTCCCACTCTTCCAGCCTGGAACATAACCTGAAGTGGGGTTTGTCCGCCATCCCCCAGAACTTTATAGACCTGCCACTGGTGATGACATCATAAGGTAGTGCCAGCTGAGAAAGAAGATGAGTGTAGCCAAAGCTGGGCTGGCACAGGTGGTGAGTGAGGACTGTATGAAGGTGCTTGCCCTGGTGACCACCTCTGCGCAGGGGACTTGCCCTAGTGACCATGTCTGTGGTGGGGAGGGCTCACTCCATGGTAACTACATCTGGGGGTGGAGCATGATGACCATGTCTTGGGGGATGGGCTTGCCCTGTGATGAACACGTCTGTGTGGGGGTGGGTTGGGTTATTACCCCATGACCATGTCTGGGGGTAGGGCTTGCCCTGTGGTGACCATATCTGTGTGGGTGTGAGGTGGGTTGTTACCCCATGACCATATCTGGGGGTAGGGTTTGCCCCATAAAGGCCATGTCTGTGTGTGGGGTACCCCAATTACCACATCTGGGGGTGAGGCTTGCCCCATGGTAACCATATCTTGGGGTAGGGACTTTCCCCATGATGACCATGTCTGTTCAGTGGGGGTGTGTACCCCAATGAGCACATCTGGGGGTAGGACTTGCCCCATGGTGACTGTGTCTTAGGGGGCTTTCCCTGTGATGATCATGTCTATGTGGGGGAGGATAGCCCAATGACCACATCTGGGGGTCAGACTTGCCCCGTGTGACCATGTCTGGTGGGGGTGGGGCTTGCCTGGTGACTTACATCTGTGGGAAGAAAGCTGGATTCAATTGTATGACCTCGGACTAGTAACTCGGCCTCTCTGAACTTCAGCTTCTAGTAAAAGGTTTTATCGTGCCCTCCTTTTCTTCAACAAGCCATCATGACCTTGATCCAAGGAGTTCTGTCCTAAGGAAGCCAGAGGCTGAGGGGGGCTGATACATCTCTGGGTCTTCCTCTCAGCCCCCAGGGTTGATCCTTCCTGGCTCCCACAGATGGCTGACACTCAGGACACCCATTGCCAGTGGAAGGCACAAGAGTGCCCTGTACTGGTGTGGGGACTTGGTATGGGAGCTGGTGTGTGCTCAGGGCCTCAATTTCCTGAAAGGGCACAGTAAGTGAGGCCCCTTGTGAAAAATACTACAAAAGGTGCACACAACACAGCCAGGCTCCTCCAAAGCCCTTTGGGAACCAGAGTCCTACAGGACATCCCTTTCTCCCACATTTAAGACGAACGCATCTAAGAGAGTGCAGTGCCTGGGTCTTGGGTTCCCCTCCCTGGTAAGATTACAGTAAGGAGCATGGTGACACCGCACATACACTCGTAAGCTCGTGGGTGCCTCTCCGGTGTCTCCCTTCTCGGCAGGGAGTTGAGTCTGACACTGCTGTCAGCTCAGCAGGGCCCAGCTGTGCCCTCAGGGCACCTCCTCCAGCCACGGCAGAGCCCCAGCCTGGGAAAGCTGCTGTCCTCCCCGCCCCACCGCCCTGACCCCCACCGGGGCTGATGCAGCAGGAGCAGAGCGCCCCACTCAGCTCTGCGCACTTCCTTCCAGGCCTCTGTGTCCGCCGGGCGGCAGCCCCACCATGGCTGGGCTCCAGACCCCAGACCAGGCCCTGGGTGTGCAAGGCGATGAGGACACTGGCGACGGGCTGCAGTCCTCCCATCGCATGCTGAGCTTCAGCGACGCCCTGCTGTCCATCATCGCCACCGTCATGGTCAGTGAGGGGCCCCAGCCCACCCTGGCCAGCCTCTAGCTAGGCGGGCCACCTCAGACCCCAACCCAGGTCCCAG